TTTTAAAAGTTGAAGTCGCAAATTTTCTTTTATATGACAAATAAATTATGATCATCAATTTATCATACTGTAAAATATCAAAATCGAACTTAAAAATACCAAATAAAAGTGACATTAAATATTTTTTATAGTGGTAAATTAGCATTATATTTTGTTTTCAAAAAAAGAAATAAAAAAAAATAAAAAAAATAAAATAATATATATATATATATATATATATATTATTTTTTTAATGGTTATATGTGGATAATTTTTTCCAAAATTTTCAAACTGTCGGCCATATAAAGTTAAAACTCTATATAAGCAAGTTTACTTTGAAAAACAAAAAATGTGCATCAAGTAGCCAAATTTTCTTTTAATACATTAGCCTACCGTTTAAGGATTCTAGAATCTTTAAATGTGACATGCATATTGTGTGGAGCATTTCCATTTACCTAGTAGATTAGGTATATATGGACTATTATCAACTTATTTGGTTCACATATTATTTATCATTCGTACGATGATTATTCTTATATATGAATAATAATGAATCGTGACAAAATGCGTGGATTATAACTTTTGGTTATTGGACTATGTCACGACCCAGACCGTCGTGATTGACACCCACACTAACCATTCGGTGGGAGAACCACTACTACAACCCAAACTAAGCAACTAAACCAAAACTAAGGCAATTAAGTTACGGAGGCAAGTTAATTAACTAAACAAATGCGGAATTAACAACCCCTAGAACCTGAAAGTCAATGTACCAAAACTCTACCAATGACAAGTCTAAGAACAAGGGGTACGACCCTAAAACTAAACAACACCTTAAACAAATAGTCTGAGTTCGAAAAGAGTGGACTTAAACAAGAGAGATTCATGGCAGCCCGAAGGAACTGACTCACCCTTGAATCCGGTCACGCTCAATAGTCACCTAGCTGAGGTCTATCAATAGCCGCATGAAGATGCCCTGTACTCAACAAAAATAAGAGCAACTATAGTATCAGTACACAACCACAGTGTACCGGTAGGATCACACGGCTATCCCACTAAGTGAAACATATATAAGTAATTACAATGATATAACCCTATAACATACCGAATATCAACAACACTGATTAACACAATCTTCATAGCATAAGAGAACCACAACACAACCACTCTTAAAGTCCACTTGTGCAATGCATGAATGAAGTCTCATTCCCTCACTCACACTAAGTAGAACTCTTTGAGAAGTCATAAGTCATAGTCCATGCTCATGTTCATAATAATAAGTCAATATATTACAATTCAATGGTCCTCTCATGGAACCCAAACACAAAATTTTCAAACTGTTGGTCATATAAAATTAAAACTAGATCTATATAAGCAAGTTTACTTTGAAAAACAAAAAATGTGCATCAAGTAGCCAAATTTTCTTTTAATACATCAACAAATCGTTTAATTTGGCTTCAATTAATATTTATATATTTTAATTTTTATTTATACATAAATAAATATGTGTTCTACGTGATATTTTTGTTAGGTATTTGCCTTGAGTTTTTTTTTTTTTTTACCACAAATAGGTTTTTCTTTTTCTAAAAGGAAAACATAAAATTTTCGTTTTTGGCTAGTCTTTTTCTCGTAGAAAAATGTTTAGGTCTCTATATATAGAGGTTCATTCCTTCTAACTTAATCAACATTTACAATGTCGTCTTAGGGGTTTTGAGAGTTTTGGTTAGGGAGGAGAATTTGTGGGACATAAGTGATGAATTATTACTTGTGAACCTCCATGTATTCCGAGTGAATTGGTTGACGTTATTTCTAGCTATATTTTGTACTCTCATAATTATATAGTGAATTGTTCATCTCATCTTGTGGATATAAGTCGATTGACCAAACCACGTTAAATCTTTGCGTCTTATGTTCTATCTCTTGTTTGTCTTCTTGCCAAATATATAAGGTCAAATTAAAATATATACTATGTATATATTATATCTTTCCTTTTAATGAAATTATGTGGACAATAGCTTTAACTGGCTATTCATGAATTATTTGTTTTCTTGTCTTTTACAACTTGTTTGGCACCTATCCTAAATCTGACATGATCACTAGGACTTTTGGTTTATCTTTAGTTTTTTTTTTTTGGTTTTCTCGTTTGGTGTCTGAAGTTTATGTTGAGTTATGATTAAATTTGAATTGTACATTGTAGGGTCTATTTAGGGATGATGCTTCCAACAAAAATTTTCCATAACCAATGTCGAAACCTTATAATTTTGATTAAGAATAAAACAATCTCACCACTACACACCACAACTCATGTGAAAGTTTATCTTTAGTTATTTTATTGACATTATGTGAACTATGGAGTATTTCCATAAATAGGTCGCTAGGATTTTGTTGGTCCTAAATAGATTCGTTTGGTTCATTTACTAGTTATACATATAAATTATAAGATAAGATTACTATACGATAAACAAATTATTATGTGATGAATAATAATACAAGTGATATTAACCACTTATTATATTAAGACTGAGATTCTAGAATAATTTAGTGTAGATATTAACCACCAACTACTTAAATGTCTTTAGTTAAACCAAGATTAGTTTTTCTTATACAAACTCTATATTTTTGAAGTATCTTCATCTTTTGTTATTAATATTCTCGAAAGAGATGCTTATGAAATTGCTTCATATAGGTCAATTCCCCCTTATTTGGATAAATCTTAATTCATAATTAATTATGCTTTGAAAATGAAATTGTCACGCCCCGAGCTACCCCTGAGACGCGGACACGGGACCTAGGACCACAAGTGATCCCAAGCTAACCCTGCTGGCATGATAATGAGCATACTAAAGATAATAAACTGATGCGGAAGCTAATTCATAAATAAATCTGAAAATATGGGGAATACCCATATACTATAACTGAATATATCAAATCTGAGAGTTTAATACAAAAGAAATATCAAACTCAACACACTAAGCTGAATCTAACTATGTCTGAAATAAGCCTCTAAACTAACTAGAAATGCTGGGACAGGCCCCAGCTAAGTCTAGCAAAACTGAAACTAAAGGACTAAAATACTGAAAGGAAACTCATGACTATTGTCCTCGGAGAATGAGGACTCACCACTGATTCTGCTAAACTAGAGATCGGGAACCGATCTAAGCGTGATCTGGATGCTAAGAACCTGAACCTACATCACGAGAAGATATAGTGCACGTGTGCGTCAGTACTTGAGAGGTACTGAGCATGCATAATAGAGTAAAGCTGAAATAACATATAACTGAACAAAGCAATAAAGCAATGAAATAATCTGAACATGATATAGTTACTGAAAATACTGAATACTGAGCTAACTGATGCAATGACCAAATTTATAACATGCTGAGACTGAATACTGACTGTACTGAAATATGGTTATTGCAATAGAGTCTGACTGAACTGTGGGAGCTACTAATAACCGACATAAAACCACATGAGCTAAATGTGGAGTCCGATGTATACGCCCCATCGAGAGGACCCAATATACCCTGCCAGAGGTATAGAGGCATGCTGGCGTGATCACTAAACTGATGTTGCCCACAGAGGGGACTTACACCTACATGGCTCGTAGTTCTGGGACTATATATGGGTACGCTGAAACCCTAGTCCAACTCGGTATTATGCTACTCCCAATGAATTAAGTGGTTAACTAGTTATGACTGAATTTCTGTAAATACTGGATAGCTCGAAACTGAACATGCAAACTGAGAATGCAACAATTAATCTGATAGTGATGCATTCATAAACTGAGGCATGTAAAACTAAATACTAAAATATCTGACCTAGCATGTGTAATTCAAGAACTAAAGAAATACATAGCTAGGGTTCTGAAATTCATGCGATAAACTGAGCAATAACATGCTAATTTGATTTGTAACATTTAAATAATTAATTCATAATGATCTGTTCAAATTCTAGAAAACCTAGGCCTGTTCATAATCATGGAATCAAGAATCTGACTGAATTCTAGGGACCTAATGGGCGAAAGGAACCCACTAGTGAAATCCCACATACCTGGTGACGAATTCCACGGAGAAATCTTTCGATTTCGGGGCTAGAACTGATGGAACCTTGTTGCGTTCTTGAACTAGGGTTCTTGACCTTTTTCTCCTCTCTTGCCTCTAATTTTCTAAGTTTTGATTAATGAATTTGACTTAGGTAAGTTCTAGTTATGTTTCTAGGCTTACACTGATTAAAACCTCATGATTTAGGGTCTAAACGACGTATCTTAGGGGTTAAACGAAATAGGAAAAGACCAAAAGACCTCTGAATTAACTGCTGTCGGAGTGACTGACGGAATGGACTGACGGTCCGTCAATCAATCGACGCTCCGTCGATTGGGTCCGTCGGTCAAGTCTGCCCGACAGGGTTTCACTAAACGGGCATAACTTTTTACTCGGATGTCAAAATTTAGCAAACTCGGTGGCGTTGGAAAGATAATTCAATTATCTATCTAACAATAGGTCATGGGACACATAATTCACTTTGTTCTAAGAGTTATGACCATCTGAAGTTGACCCATCAGAAGTTTCAGCTAACTGGCTCTTGATCCTCATCTACGGTCAGACCTATGGACCGTGGATTGATTGACGGTCTGTGCTGGTCGATCGTAGTTTGTGTCAGAGGCTGGTAAGGGAAGTCTCGATCCACGGACACAGACCACGGACCGTGGTCTGATCTACGGACCGTGGGTCTGTCCGTTAGTCGGGTCTTAGCCAAATTTTCTGACTGAGTTCTGGGGAAGTTTTCTGTCACGAACCACGGACCTGCAGGACGGACCGTGAGTCCATCTACGGTCCGAGGATGGTGTCCGTGAGTGCCACCTATAACACCAGAAATCTGAAATCTCTATTTTTGGATACGGGGTGTTACGGAAATATACCCATCATTTTGAAAGGAATAATTATGATCCTAAACCCTTGTATGAAAAATCATGGGCCATGGATTTAAAGAATGCAAAGTCCATATATATAAGATTACATTATGAGTGAAGAGAACACATATTTGAGCAAAAATGACAACATCTTTCCCCATGAATGCTGGTGATGGTGTTTACAGCTACTCCAAAAACTCCCATTTGCAGGTATTGATCTCTAGTATATACTATACATAAGCACATATTCTTGTAAAAAAATCAAGTCCATACGTGAGGGGCGTGTTAAGAATATATTTTTAAATAATAAAAGTGCATTATCCAACTTATATCAAGCACATATTTTTGTACAAAAAATTCTTTTGTGAGTGAATGTTAAACTCTAAACTAAGAATTCATCAAGCACAATGTTGGATTATGCCAATTTAATTCCTGTCTGTGGCAAGGTCCACGAGGGGGCTGGGAGGACTATAATATTGGAGTCATGATCAAACATGGATCTTGCTAGCTTGATGGACTTAGTTAAAAAATAAAGTTATGCCTTTGATATTAGCTATATTTTTTGACATGCATGATTGTAAATGTTTGATCCTAATAAGTAGTATAGTCAAGATCATTGTTCGATTCCCAAGAGCATCATGATGCATGAGGCAGGTGTTGGGAGGAGGATTGTTGGGTAACACCAACATCTGGCCTATGACAAGTCCCACGAGTGGGTTGGGATGGCCCCGGATGGAGTGATGATAGAATGTGATGTTTACTTGGTCTTAGTTAATAAATAAAGTTGTGTCCATGTTATTAGCTAAAACTTTTGGCATGCTAGTAAACATTTGATCCTAACAAGCCATACAACAATTATTTGTATAGTTAGTGATCTTATCCACGGTAAAAGTAAAACACAATTTTATATCACACTAAATAATTGATTGTAGTTTACCCACTATAATAGTAAAATAAGTAACTTTACATGTTATAACACAAACATCAATAAATATTTTTTATCGTCACATTAAAGTAACTGAACTTTTCTATCAACATGACTATGCAGAAAGAAATGATAGATGGTGCAAAGGAGATGGTGAGACATGCAATTATTCGAAAGCTTAACATCAAGATTATATTATCTTTTCCAAACACATTACGTATTGCAGAGTTGGGATGCTCTGTTGGACCAAATACGTTTAGTGCAATACAATATAATGTAGAAGCTCTAAAGGACAAGTATTTATTATACCAAGACCAAGTCATAAATTTTACTAATAATATTCCTGAATTTCAAATATTTTTCAACGATCATGTCACTAATGATTTCAATATCCTCTTTCAATCACTACCCTTTGATCGATCCTACTATGCATATGGAATTCCAGGATCTTTTTATGGTAGGTTATTCCCATCGCGATCTATGCATTTTGTACATTCTTCTTCTGTTATAAATTGGTTATCCAAGATTCCAAAAGAATTGGTAGATGAGAAATCCCCAGCATGGAATAAGGGATTGATTCACTATGTTGGTGCATCAAATGTTGAAGTAGTGAATGCTTATTTTGCTCAATTTGAAAAGGACATGGAAATATTCTTTAATGTAAGAGCTGAGGAGATTGTTCAAGAAGGAATGATGGTGCTTATCACAACATTTTCGGGTTATATGCGCCTCATGAGATTTTTTGGTTCTAGTCTTATGGATTTGGTGAACAAGGTAATCTTTATTTCATTTTATATGACAATGTTTTTCCTTTTGGTTTGCTTTGATCATGTGTATTATGATAATAACTGTAGTTGGTATTTGCCATTGTATTATCCCTCTCCTCAAGAAATGACTAAAGTAGTGGAGAAAAATGGACTTTTTAGTATTGAGAGAATGGAGTTGATAAATATCAAATCAAATCTTGTGGATGAGGCTGATGCAAAAACTTTAATGACAAGTCTAAGAAGTTCTATAGAAGGAGTTATAATTAGTCATTTTGGAAGTTAAAATAGCAGAAGAAGCTTGTGCAAGAACAATTCTCAAAAGTGAAGAAATTTCAGAATGGATGAAAGTTAATAATGAGAAACCAAGCATATTGTTTGTTGCTTTGAAGCATAAATGAATTTTTATATAATTTAGGTCTATGGAGAGATGATGTGACACATCTCGCAGACCAATACTATGATTTGCCTAATGTTTTTGGATTTTCTTCATTTGTTTCACTTTTCTAAGAATGTATTCTTGTGATTTTGAAACAAAAAGAGGCCAAGTACTATATGCTTTTACTAATCTTATCAACTTTTAAGACAAAAATACCTTCTACATAAAAAGTCTTAACTTATAATTTCTAACTTATAAATGATAAGTAATAAATTCATCTGAACAGACTCTTAAGTAATCAATTAATTATATGCATTATATAACATTCCATGTACTCATCGTGTAATAATCTCTTAATTACTATTATTCATCATATAAAGAATCTTGCATCATAATTCATACGTATAACTAGTATTTGAACCAAACGATGCGACATCAAATTTATCAGTTTGTTTCAAATGTGTTCATGATAGTTAAAGAAATATCTAAAGATAACCATAAAGTCCAAGTCGTCACACCCCAAATCCGGATGTGATGGCACGTGTCCATTTCCCACCGGACACGTCAGCCTAACCCAACCACAACGATAGAGAAGTAGAAATACGAGAATAAAAGATAATAAATAAGCGGAAGACTAATTAAGACTCAACACTACCCAGAATTTGGTTGTCACATGTACAAACCTCTAAATACAGAATTCGAATAAAAATATACAAGTCTCAGAGTATAGTTCTCGAATAGAACAAAACTGAAAGTAAAGATAACTCAAGGGCACGTCTGGAATGAACCGCTACCTCTCGAGTATGTCTCGAAGCTCAATCTGCTAAAGAAAATACTAAGCCGAATCTGAGAGAGCTGTCAACCTACACAATTGTGTAGAAGCAAGGGTGAGTACCGAAAACCACAGGTACTCACAAGTAACTCTAAACTAAGCAAAACTAGCAGCTACAAACAACTCCTTTCAATCCCAACCGAACCACCGAAACTTCAATCTAGCAGCAAACCAACCAACCTATACTAAACAGATCATATTCAACAGCCAGAACCAACAGTATATCCTCATCAACCTCAGATCAACAAATAAGAGCAAGTAGATCAAATTCCACATAAGAAGGGTAAACCGATACAATCCACACATCACAGACAAAGATAAGGCAAATGCGATGCAAAATGCAATAATGATGTCATGTAGTCGTGATGCATGTCTGTCCTACGATTCACATCTGTTGACGTAATCAGTCCGCGCTAAATACTCAAATCAGAACCCATGGGGGCCACACATGGACCACGTATCACCGCCGGAACCAGATCCCATCAACATCCAAATCGCTAGCCGGAGCTAGTCCATCTCATATATCTCTAGCCGGAGCTAGTCCCAACTGTGTCTCATAGCCATCCATCCTCATATCAGTGTCTCAGAACTCATACAACAGATAATTCACACATGGGATGAATAATGAATATGCACATGTCATCAATCACAATCATATCACGATCACATCATAGTATTACACATCATTTGTCTCAATCACAACCATATCACGGCCACATCATAGTAATACACATCACATGTCTCAATCACAACCATATCACAACCACATCATAGTATTACACATCACCTATCTCAATCACCACCATATCACGACCACATCATAGTATTACACATCACCTGTCTCAATCACAACCATATCACGACCACATCATAACACATTTAGCTCGTTTTATTCCCCATGTTTCATTTACAACAAATTTCAATCAACAATTAAAACCCATCCTCAATCCCCATTACTCCCCAACACAATTAGGAAAGTAGTCATGCGTAGTCTAAAAGTTTTACAAAGTTTGGAAGCCACTTGCCTTAAAACGAACTCCAAAAGCTACTTGACTTGAGCCTTTCCTTTACGAGTAGAATCCGGATCACGATAATCTATTCAAACAATTATACACAATCACAATTCGAGTCCAATGACACCAAAATCAAGAAATTTAGGGAAAAAGGGCAAAACGGTCCAAAAGTCTCATACCGGAAAACGATACCCAAATCTGGAATTTTTTTTATGTAAAATGATCCTTAAAGTATTTGGAAGCTAATGGCGAAAACCAATTTGAAAATGGAGTTGAAATCAATTCACAAACTCAATTTGAAGGAAAATCCACGTTCTTGAAGAAGCCTAAAATATTCGGATCCGAAACCCCGACTCGAAAATGAAATATCTCTTGAAAAACATCTTACCCATGCTTAGATAAGTTCAAATATGAAATTTCATCAAAAACGGAGTTAAGATTGACCTTGAAATTCTCAATTTATCAAACTTTAACTTTACTGGGAAAGTCCAAATTGTACGTGGTTAATATGATGAAAATAATCGATGAATCAATAATTTTATGTTAAAAACAGTTTACCCATAACATAAGGATCGTAAATATACCTTTTTCATCAAAAAGGGAGTCCAAATCGATAAAACCCCAATTTTTCCCAAGATGTTTACAGATAGGGAAAAAAAACCAGATAAAGAAATTATGAGAAAATGTCGAATTGAAGATTGAATACTAACCCTCATATTAATTCAAGAAGAAACCCGTAAGAATCACTCCATTCCGATCTCTAGAACTCCCGATATGCTCAAAATACCAAATGAACACAGTCTGAGATTTTTATAACAGTAGATGGCTGTTATGCACCAGAAAAACAGCATTTAATCTTTCACTAAAAAGGCCGTAATTTCCTCATACGATAGTCAAATGACCCGATTCTTTTTTATAAATGTCTTAAATAATGCTACGGACCTGCTCGTTCAATCGGAGCTCAATTTCATGCTCGTTTGCCTAGTCAAATATCATTTCTACTCGGTAAACAATTATTTCTTATTTGAGATAAAAGTCCAATCTCGGGTTAGCGAAAATGCACCAAAATTTGCAGATAAGTCCTATAATTCATGCTCAAAATTTCAGAACCTTCGGAAAAAATTTTCGACCTTTAAAACCAATAATGAACTCTTTAGTTGCCACAATTTGCTGAAATAGTGTCAAAGCATCCAAGAAGCTTAAAAGCTCACCCAAAACTCATTTGGCACTTCCCGAACACAAACCAAATATGCTACTAGCTTGAAAATGACATTTCGGACTCAATGAAATTGTCAGAATTTGAATTCGAGGTCTCCTTGACCCGGTATCCGATAAGGCGTCAAGAAACTAACTTTAGTCTCAAAAACTCGAAACGCACTCGGGGCCTCTAAAAATTCAACCAAGACTCATTCTAGACTTAGAATCACCCCTGAATCCAACGGTGCCCTCAGAATTTCATTTCGAGCACCGGAACCTCGTTTGTTGACCAAAGTCAACTCTTGATCAAAATTTTACAATTTTAGCAACTTAGGACCTCAAATCTTCGTTTTAACTCCAAATTCGACTCCATAAATTCTCATAGACCCGTTTCAACATTCTAAAACTGTTGGATTCGACGGAAATCCGATTCGAGTCTCGAAACTCCAAATGACTCGAAATAACACTTTTAACCAAACTTTAACTCTTAAAAACTCAACTTTCCAAAAACTCAACTTTTCATCAATTTTCCTCCAAACCAACTTCGAAAATACAACAATTAGCACTCGGGGCAACTATCGGGAGGGGTAAAACGGTCATTTTATGAAAATTTCCAAAAATGACCTTTAGGGTCATTACACGTTACAGTTTATGACAAAATGCATATTTATTATTTAGGTTATAAATAGACCTATATTTACTGAATTAATAGGAAATCTTAAAGCTATTTTTATTTAATTTTGAAAATATCACATGACTTAAAAATTACCCCATATTTACTGAATTAAAAGAAAATCGATCTGTCTATATTTGATTCAAAAGAGACTAGCACACCATGCTAATAATATCTTTGAGTCTATCAACCCAACGAAAAAGCAAAGTAGGGCTGATAGCCAGCTTTATTGATTATCAATATATGGAATTGTGTGGATAATTATAACTTTGAATTATTGGAGATATATTTATTTTCTTCTTATATTACAATTTGTCTGCACTTCTCCCTATTTCAATTATTACATGACTTGGACTTTTCTATCATGAATTTGAATTTTGAAAGGTCCATGCATACTATGATTGGATATTTCCTAATTTTAAACAATTAGATGTGACATGCATATTGTGTGGAGCGTTTCTATTTACCGACTTATTTGGTTCACATACTAGTTATCATACATACTATTTATAATGCATGCTTATTTTTGTACAATGAATAATAATGAATGAATATATGTGTGGATTATAACTTTTGGTTATTGGACTATTGGAGATATTTTTTTTTTCTTCTTATGTTACAAACTTGTTTACACTTATCCCAATTTCAACTGTAACATGATTTTGAAGTTTGAAGAGTCCATACACAATAACAATTATACTAAGATACTCAATAAAATATTATAATGTACTCGATGACTTTTCCTACTTTGAAATTAAAGTGAGTAATAATAACATTGCTTATCCTTGCTAATATCTTATATTATGCTTTACATAGCGAATTAAACAGCTTTGTAAATATAAAAAAAATTACTTGTTATGTAGTTTGAATGAGAAAATTTTGTGATTCCATGAAGAGAAAGTGGACCATGTAGTTCTAAAAATTAAAGTATTTATTCAATAGTGCTGAGGAAATTGTTCATGGAGGAATGATAGTACTTATTACACCATATTCAAGTTATGTACGTCTCACGAAATTCTTTGGCACTAGTCTTACGGATTTAGTGAATGAGGTAAGTAAATATTTTAAGTTTAAGTTATATATATCGTCACTTTTAAAAAAAATTTTACTCCATAGGCTAACCTAAAGGCAAGGGTGGACTTGCCATTATATTAAAGTTATGGGTTCGACATAACATTGGCTTAGATTCGATATTATATTTGTGATAAGAAATTCATTTAAAATGTATAAATAACATATCTCGCATCAGGTTATTATCTTTTCATCTTACACCGTAACTAGTATGCTAAGTCATGATATATTTTAGAAGATAAGTTTGTAAGTATATCTTTGGCTCAGACCTTGTATATATGTTCAGAATTTCATTAAACATAAATAAGTAATAAATGTAATTGAGATTTATTTATTTTTTTCTACAGGGAAAGTTAGATGAGTCTTTAGTTGACTCATTCAATTTGCCAATGTATTTTCCATCTGTTGAAGACATGACTAAAGTGGTGGAGAAAAATGATTGTTTTAGCATTGAGAAAATAGAGTTAACTTATCCTCAATCAAAGCTTGTGGATGAGGCTGATGCAAAGACTTTAATGATATATAGAGCTGTTTTAGGACTTTTAATCAATCATTTTGGAAGTGAAATAGCAAAAGAGGCTTGTGAAAGGACTATACTCAAAAGTGAAGAAATTTCAGCATGGATGAAAGCTAATTATGAAAAATCATGTCAATTATTTGTCGCTTTGAAGCGTAAATGAATTTCTAAAAGAAATCTATATATTATATAATTCATGTTTGTGGAGAGATGATGTGACACGTCTCATATGTCAAGTTTTATGTTTTTCCTAATATTTTTTTTTATTTTCCCTCATTTGTTTCACTTTATGTTATCTATAAAGAAAATTAAAAAAAAAGTCTCTTTATTAACTTCCTTTTTCTTTTTTTGCCTAAAATTTAATTTGATAAATTAAAGATATATTTCACAATCACAATAGATTTGATATTTTATCTCCTCCCTAACAAATTAAAAATATATCTCAAGATATTATTAAAATGATGTGGAAACAAAAAGAAGACCAGACAAGAAATGGCCTCCATTTGGGACCTAATGGAATATGAGAGCCGGATAAAAAGGCTCATTTGGTCGGAGAACAAGTTATTATGAGATTAATTATTGTAAAATTATTATCACATTGGAATAAAATAACACTATAAATACGGAATAAGTAATTCTGCAAGTTTATTCCAATTAAATATGTGATAAATATATTCTAAAATTAATTATTCCTCAACTTTCCATAATTTATAGCTATAGCAATATTCAAAAATAAAAAATTCATAAACTTGGCCCCCTGGCAAGGATAACATCAGCATAAGTAACACATGTGCCAAACAATTATTTTATTATATATATATATATATATATATATTTCATGAAGATAATGCTAGGGTTTTGATAGGAAGGCCTATATATATACTATAAGCATAGGTGAATTTATATATAGCTAAAATATGAGATACTTGAATTCGTATTTTTTAATAAAATTATATATATATATATATATATATATTTAAGAATTGAATTTATTTTTTTTGATGATGCTATATTATAAGAAGGCTAAATAACTTATCTTAATTCTCATTTAGTAAATTTTTTAATGATACATCCATTTTTAAAAATTATAATTCGTCTCTATCAAGACATGTTTTCAAATAAATAATAATTAATATATACTCTTCAAGTTGATTTACTTTTGAAAAATAATGTACTAAGAAATTTGAAAATGACTACTCATCGTACATTTTTTTTTTCCAGACAAGTATTGTCGTTTTCTTTTGTTTATTAGTCGGTCGTGGTACGAAATATATTGATTCAATTAATTCAAATTTATGTGATTTCTATAATTCATTTAAAGGATATTATAGTCTCAAATTCGTGGGTTAGCGTGTATTTAAATTCTTTATATAATCTTGAGTAATTCTCATTTTTTAAGTAAACTTTTAGGGTTGAAATAGATTTAAGAATTATTTATTTAATATCGTATAGGCCCGTCCCAGTTAATTAATTACTTAACATTGAGAATGCACTTAAATTCTTTTTATAATTATAAACGATCCTCACATCTTGAATAAATTAAGAGCAACTTTCACATATAGCAAACAAAAAAATCATATTGTATGTTATAGCAAAGTTTGCATAATTGCGCTCCATAGCAACATATATATGTATAATTCGCTATACATATACAATTGAAAGTTGTCTATTTCGCTATACATATATACAAAAAGAAGCAATTGTATAATTCGTTAACTCTTCTTCAGATTTGTATAATTTAGCTGGCAAGCCATTTGTATAAATTGTTGTTAGCCTCTCGTTTGTATAAATTGTTGACAAAAATATTTGTATATCAAAAATCACTCTCTCTTTTGCTTTATACAAACATAAATTGTACATTATACAAACATAAAACTGGGCAGGGGAATATTTTTATTGTATAAGTATAAGTGTATAGGACGAATATATATGTATTTGCATGTGTATATACAATTTTCTTGCGCTTTATACAAACAGAAACGCAATTTATATAAATTTTGTTGTATAAAACGAGAAAGAGAGAAAGGCAAAAGAGAACTGGGCATAAGTGTATAGGACGAATATATATATATTTGCATGTGTATATATAATTTTCTCTCGCTTTATACAAACAGAAACACAATTTATACAATTCTGTTGTATAAAGCGAGAGAGGCAAGCACAGAGGGAGTGAGCGAGAGAGGAGAGTGGCGAGCGAGAGTTTGAGGGAGAGAGGTGCTGGCAAACAGTTTGCTACATGACACAATTAAATCAAAGTGTGGTTATACCATTTAATTTGAATTAATAGTTTGTCATTATGTACAATTTTCCCATAAATTAACTTATGAGATTAAATAAGACTCAAAGTCCATTTCTTTAATAAGGGAGATAGAGATAAATCAAGCTAAAATTTTGAATTTATAAATTCTTAATTTTAAACAATGTCTGAATTCTGAATAAATCATTTCTAAAGCATATATTATATAATTCAGGTCGATGAAGAGATAATGTGACATATCTCGCTGTCCAAGTACTATGTTTTGCGTAATTTTTTGGATTTTCCTCATTTGTTTCACATTATGTTCTCTACAAAGAAAATTAAAAAGTGTCTTTGTTAATTTTTCTAAATTGGCCTCCCTTTATTGCTCTTTTCTCCCAGTAATAACTAATTTTTACCTTTTCCTCATTAATTGTCCTTTTAACTTTCTTAGTTTTCGCTTAAAATTTACGCTAAAAAATTCAAAATCCTTAAGAGGCCAAGAACTATGTTTTTCCTAATCTTATTAACTTTTAAGATAAAAAAAAAATACCCTCCACATGAAAAATCTCAACTGATAACTTTTAAGATAAAAAATACCTTCCACGTGAAGAATCTTTAACTTATAACTTTTAACCTATAAGTGATAAGTTATAATTAAATTCACCCGAGTAGACTCTAAGTAATCAACTAATCATATGCATTCTATAACATTGTTAACATCCCATGTACCATTATATATTCACTGTCTAATAAAATCCATGCATTTAAAAAAAAAAAAAAAAAAAACTATGCGCCCTTCTAATAAAACTATTAATAATAATTTATCACCGTATAGTGGTGAGACCTCTATATTAATGAATAAAATTACAAAGCTACGGGGAGCTTAAGCTCGACCCATTCCAGTAGTTGCTTCACAAAAACTAAGGTTCTGACAAAACTATACAAGTTTTGCACAAATTTACAAGTCCAGTGTGATAGACAAAATTAGCTATAATATATCAACTGGATCAGTTCTATACAAAATAATTCTTCCTCTCTGCTTATGCTTTAAGGACTCCATTTGTATGAGACCGAGTTTATAAGGTCCAATGGCTATCGATAGTAGGTGAGCATGTGTAAAAATAAACAACTCATCATTTGTAATATATACTAGCTCCATTTTGCCAAGGCATCTACAACTTGGTTGACTTCCCTGTAGCAATGTGTAACCTCAGAAGCAATAAAATCCATGCATTATTATTCATCACGTAATAATCTATTCATTCATCACTATTATTTATCGTATAAACAATCTTGCATCATAATTTATATATATTAGTCTCTGCTCATGCTTGAAAGAATGATAGCTGCAACAATCTGGAAAGTTTCAATTTAATTTGAATTTAAAGATAGTTCTGGTGACAAGATTAGAACGTCTAAGAAAATTAATTGTATAAATAAGAATATGCCAATTGTATAAGGTATTATACATGTTAGCAGACGATCAAACATCATACAATCACCAATTACAGTCATATCTATCTGAATTGCACGCGACAGTAAGCATATTCATTTTGCTAATACATATGTTGTACGGATCAGCAGCCGATCATGGAAGGTTCAGACAAGGGACAACTGGGACATGGTATCTCACATTAACATGCCAAAAATATGACATATGCTGTACTTTCTTTTCTCGCTATCATGATTGTCATTGCTTTCTAGTGTATATTTCATCACAATCCTCTTCTTGTTCAGATGAATTTATTTGCCTACAATTGTAAGTTGTAACATTTCACTCCCCTAATGATTTAGTACATAAAGCAAAAACAGTACTCCTCCTATTTCTTAACTAGCTCGAGGTTCCACCGTGTATCTATATATCTTACAAATAAGTATCCCCACTACAACATAGTACTTCATTTACTCCACCAAATGTGATCACCAAAGTCGGCAGAATTGATATTCTAAAATCAGACCACTCAACTCATGCAGATGCACTACGCACAACACAAACCAGCCATAGTTAATCTACTAATCAAAGAATTTGCAACGGGACCTGTCCATTTTTTCTCTTGGAGAGAAAGGCAAGCCTTTGACTTCACCCTATGTGAGCTTCACAAGGCATAGTCCGTCCCTAGCCTGGATAAAGGATAATAGTTGGGGTATGTAGACTTTCAGACAGCTAAATAATAGTCTAATCATCATGAAACTTCCTACAAGATTGGACTGGACAGTGGGGAATGGTACAAAGGACTATATAGTGAACCTCAACAAGTTTTTTGTTAATGTGATTGATAAAAATGAAAACTTTTTCAATAATGGTGGTGTCCGGGCCAGCTTGCACGAGTTTCTCGACTAGTTCAACCGAATGCCTGCTACCTCCAACCCGCCCAGCTACCGGGTAACTCCACCACCAAGCCTTAGGTAGATAGAAAAAAACACCACCTAACTTTTTTATACCTCTGCTGGAATTTGAACCCGAGACCTCATGGTTCTCCCAACTTCATTAACCACTAGTTCACACCCTTAGAAGTACTACATGCTTTCAGTAAACTAAGAGTTGTGGTGGTTCACATTTTCACATTCAGCTTGAACATTTTAAGAACAATCTGATTATCATTATAACCTACGGAAACTCAGCCTAAACAAAGCGAAATGGATACAAAAGATTATATAGAGTCGATCTCAGCTAGTATCCAAGTAGAGAGTTATGGTGGTTCATATTATCACATTCAGCTTGAACATTTTAAGAACAATCTATTATCATTAAAACCTGTGGAAACTCAGCCTAAACAGAGCGAAAAATGGATACAAAAGATTATATAAGGTCAACTTCAACTAATATCCAAATCGAGTTGTGGTGGCTAACACTAATACTATCTAAGCCAGTTTGCACGCACCTCAACTAATTTCTTTTCCCACCGATGGGAAGAAATCCTATGCTAATTGATATTCTAATATCCCAAAATCAGACCACTCAACTCATGCAGATGCACTACGCACAACACAAACCAGCCATAGTTAATCTACTAATCAAAGAATTTGCAACGGGACCTGTCCATTTTTTCTCTTGGAGAGAAAGGCAAGCCTTTGACTTCACCTATGTGACCTTCACAAGGCATCGTCTGTCCCCATCCTAGATAAAGGATGATAGTTGGGGTATGTAGACTTACAATCAGCTAAAAAATAGTATAATCATCATGAAACTTCCTAAAATATTGGACTGGACAGTGGGGAATGGATACAAAGGACTATATAGATTATAGTGAACCTCAACAAGTTTTTGTTAATGTGATTGATAAAAATGAAAACTTTTTCTATGATGGTGGTGTCTGGGCTAGCTTGCACGTGTACTTCGACTAGTTCCACCACTTGCTACCTCCTCCCCCACCCCCCTAGGTACCGGGTAACTCCATCACCAAGCCTTAGCTAGATAGAAAAGAACACCTTCTAACTCTTTTATACCTCTGCTGGAATTTGAACCCGAGATCTCATGGTTCTCCCAACTTCATTCACCACTAGTTCACATCCTTAGGACCACTACATGCTTTCAGTAAACTAAGAGTTGTGGTAGTTCACATTTTCACATTCAGCTTGAACATTTTAAGGAGTTAAGGAGTTAGCTATTAACATCATTTTGCTTGACATTAAAACCTAAGGAAACTCAGCCTAAACAAAGTGAAAAATGGATACAAAAGATTATATAAGGTCGACTTCAACTAATATCCAAATCGAGTTGTGGTGGCTAACACTACACATTTTCTATTTGATAATTATACTGTCTAAGCAACCTTGCACGCACCTCGACTAATTTCTTTTCCCGGATACCGATGAGAGGAAATCCTCTGCTAAGACCTCACGGTTCTCAACCTACCTCATCGACCCCTAAGCCACACACCAATGGTGCAGTTCATACTTCACATTCAGCTTGAATTCATAGTCTTTCCTTGCAATGAACCGAAAGGTGAGAGGAAGGGCTTAGTCTCAAAATTTAATTTAAAGTCACTAGTAAGTCCAACTTTTAGGTGCAGGGAAAGAATAAGGCTAGCGAGCCTCTTTCCAAAACTGTACAATACAAAGGGCGAAGCTCGAATAGGTTACTCTGAGTGGCCTTCATGGCGGATGTTTCGGTGTTAACGAGTTCAAAAAAGAAGGTCAAGGATGAACTATAGACAAAGACAAAGGAAGGAGGAGATGGGAAAAAAATATGAGAGTAGAAAACATTTGTTCTTCGAGATATTCAATTAAAAAAGAAGAAGTAAAGGTTTATGATGAACAGTTAAACATAATATTTGAATATGAGATTTGAGATAAGTTTTCTACGAGCACTAGATAGGTCGATCAATTGTCACAAACATAAATTAAATGCTAGTATTTTCAATTATCAAAATCGAATTTTAAAAATATCGAATCGCACACTTAACGATACATTAAACCACTAACATAATTTCTAACAAAACCAAATCAAATCTCTATAATTTTTTTCTTTTTCCGATCATCATAACTTTAAATTCCTCAAAATCAATCATCCCGTCGCCGTCACAATCAACGCCGCCGATCATTTTCCGGCACTTATCCAGTGAACATTCTTCCCCAATACTCTTCATCACTTTCTGCAACTCTTCAGCAGAGATCGATCCATTTTTATCCACATCAAATACAGAGAAAGCATCCTTCAAATTCTCCATAACTTCACGCAAATCGATGAATCCATCTCCGTCCCCATCGACTTCGTTAATCATTTCAATCGATTCTTCCTCCGTTATAGCGGTTCCTAAACTGGCCATGATGAAACCCAGTTCCGAAAATGAGATTTTTCCGTCGCCGTTGATGTCGAATACCTGTTGTAGCTCCTCTTCTATCATGACCGGAGAGTTCACCGGCGGGGAATTCGCCGGCGTTGGGTCATTTTTTTTCTTTCCATTGAAAAGTGATTTAATTAATCCCATTTTACTAATTGTGAATTAATTATCGGAAAATAGTAAATTAGGGAAGATTTACGAGGATTACAAAGAGATTAATTTGAAAAATTATTTTGGATTTTTGTTTAAAACGGAGAGAGGCTGCGTGAGTGCACGATGAGAATCATGCCGTCCTTACCTACCGTCCATGTTCTGGACATGTGAAGACGAGATGTACGCATATATCAGTATAAAAGTGTGAGAGATAGGGACGGATTTATAAAAGATCAAGATGTGTCATGTGACACTACTTCATTGGAAAAAAATGTAACATATGTTGTGTGTTCTTCAATATTTTATATTGGCTTTTATATTTTTGTTGTTTTTGTTTTTTCGAATTATTTTATGATGTTTTTACTTGAATCGAGATTAATCTATCAAAAACAACTTTCTAACTTTTAAGGTAGAGATAGGGATAAAATATATGTACACATTTTCTCTCCAAACCCCATTTGTTAGATTACATGCATTTTGTATGATATTGTGTTGAAATTTTTTTCACTTTATTTCAAAATTTGTGTTTGGTTATAAAAAAAAATTAAATTATATTGGAATTGGATTCTAAATTTGAAAGCGTTTCAAATTTTCTTTTTATTTCTATCTTCATAAATTTCAAATAATTAAAGTGCTCTTCTCTCTTTTTTAAAAAGTATAACAAAAGATCATAAACAAAATAAAAGAGTAAAAGATTATTATTATTAGATGAAGGTCTAATAAGAACATTAACTCTAAAAAAATTGAAATTTCTTGGTAGAGCACATCAAGTAAACATTACCAAAAAAAAAAGGAGAAAAAAAATCCAAAACATTAGACACAAACAGAAAACTTGGCCAATGAGATGTGACATATAATTTCTCTATAGATCTGAATTATATAATATGAAAAAAAAATATGTTTAGTTCTTCATTATTCCTATTTTAGCTCATGTGATAGTCAGACTAAGCACATTTGATCTTCATTTAAGCAATGTATGTATTTTTGAACCTTTGACTAACGGAATTCAAACACATATTGCTTAATCGAATATCAAATATGCTTAGTCGAATATCACAAAGGCTAAAAGTATTATCTTCACTATAATATATATAATCGTCCATAGAAATTTATTTACGTTTCAAAGCGACAAATAATTGACATGATTTTCCACCATTAGCTTTCATCCATGTTGAAATCTCTTCACTTTTAAGAAGAGTTCTTGCACAAACTTCTTCTGCTATTTTACTCCCAAAATGATTGATGAGAAGTCCTTCTAAAACAGCTCTTAGGTTTATTATAAAAGTTTTTGCATCAATCTCATCAACAAACTTTGATTTAGGATATGCCAACTCCATTTTCTCTATGCTAAAACATCCATTTTTCTCCACCACTTTAGCCATGTCTTGAGGAGAGGGAAAATACATTGGCAAATTGAATGAGTCTACAAGAGATTCATCTAACTTTCCCTATGCCAAAAAGAAAGAAACTTCAATTACAAATGTGATGTGCATGCAGCCTTACCCTTATAGATAAACTCTCGATTCAAGTAAAATATAGATATTACATATCTTAGTTACCAAATTTATAAGACTGGAACTGAAAAAACTTTCGACTCAAGTAAAATATAGATATTACTTACCTCATCTATCAAATTCATAAGACTGGAACGAAAAAACTCTCGACTCAAGTAAAATATAGATATTACTTACCTCATTTACCAAATTCATAAGACTGGAATCGAAAAAACTCTTAATTCAAGTAAAATATAGATACTCCCATTTTATGTGAGAGGTACTTTGACTCGGCATGGTGTTTTAAGAATGAAAAGAAGATTTTTAAAATTTGTGGTTTAAAATAGATGATAGAAATTTGTGTGGTTATGAATCATTTCATCAAGGGTAAAATGAATATTTTAAAGTTAAATTGTTAGTTAGTATAGAAATGTGTCATTCTTTTTGGTACTGAGTAAAAAAGAAACTAAGTCATATAAATTGGGACAAAGGAAATATTACTTACCTCATTTACCAAATTAATAAGACTGAAACTGAAAAAACTCTCAACTCAAGTAAAATATGAATACTACTTACCTCATTTATCAAATTAATAAGACGGGAATCAGAAAAACTCTCAACTCAAGTAAAATATAGATATTACTTACCTCATTTACCAAATCCATAAGACTGGAACCGAAAAATTCCACAAGACGTATATAACTTAAAAATGGTGAAATAAACACCATCATTCCTCCAGGGACAATCTCCTCAGCTCTTGCATTAAAGAATATTACCATGTCCTTTTCAAAATTGAGCAACATAAGCTTTCACTACTTCACTATTTGATGTACCATAGTGAATCAATCCCTTATTCCATGTTGGAGATTTCTCATCTAACAATTCTTTTGGAATCTTAGATAACCAATGTATAGCACAAGAAGAATGTGCAAAATGTATCGATTGCGTTGGAAATAATCTACCATGAAAAGATCCTGAAACTCCAGATGCATAGTAGGATCGATCAATAGATAGTGATCGAAAAAGAGTGTTGAAATCGTTTTCTACATGATCACTAAAAAATACTTGAAATTCAAGAATAATATTGTGGTATTTTTCCTTTACAACGTCTACAACATGTTGCATAGCATGGAAAGTGTTTGGTCCAATTGAACATCCCAACTCTATAATACGAAATGTGTGTGAAGAAGATAACATGACTTCAACATCAAGTTTTCCAATAATTGCATCTCTCGCCATATCCTTTGAAGCATCTAGAAGTTCTTTCTACATATATATAATCATAACATTAATAAATTTTGTTAATAAATGTTTTTTTTAAAATTTAAATTGAAGAAATTAAATAAATACCTGCCGTTGGGAGTTATTGAAGTAGCTATAAGCACTATTACCATCATTCATGGGGAAAGATGTTGTCATTTTGTCTAATATTCTTCTTCTTCTTCACCTTAGACGGATTCAGATTTTGAAATTTACGAATTTTAAATTAATTTGTACATTGTAACTAAATTTTGTAAGATAATTACATAATTTGAATCGAAGATACTGAATTCTGATAAATTTGTTACTTCTACTCTAGTATAATTAATTTTATCACTACATATATTGTTTTGTTTCTTTAGCCTCCTTATTTATCTATGTTATTATTTGACCATGTATATTCCAGCAGGTACTCAATGCACGAGTTCCAATAAGATCCTCTTTTACAGAGGCGACTTAAAGGGGAAACCATTAAAGCAATTGTTTTAGGCCCGAAAAATCGAAGGATCCAAAATTTTTATATATTGTTTACATACAATATTATAAATTATTAATAAAAGATACTAAATTTTATGTTGGTGTTTTTTGCAAAGGGATAAAGGTTATTCAAATAAATCATCCTAATTTTATTAGATAAATATGCAATATATGAAAAATAAATAATTTGATGACGACTCTTATAATTGAAACAACAAAGTCTCTTGTATTATAGTTCATATGTATAACTAATATGTGAACTAGATGAACCAACAAATCCGATTCATCAGTTTATTTCAAATGTGTAAGTATTTATAGACAAAAATGCCTTCCATTAGTAATCAACAAATTATATGTGCATTGCATTACATTTTATGGACCATTATATTAGGCTTAAGTCATCCACAGCCACTTAAAATTGTCCGCATATTTCACTTAGACACAAAGGCGGTTCTATGCTTTGTAAAATAAGGCTTATGCCTTAGGCCCCAAATTTTTTATCAAGAATAAATTGTGTTAAATTTTTATAAAAAAAATTGATTATTTATGATAAAAAGTATAATATTTTAAAAGATATATTATTTCACCCACTTTAACATCTTTTGTATTTTGTTAAAAATAAAAATTAATAGTGAAAAGTGTTGAACAAAGTGAATTACAAATTCTTTTTTATTTGTTTTTAAATTTTAGTTTCAAACATTACAACAAGCTTATTAACATGGAGTATAGCAAGTCATCAACTTCTTGAGATTCTATGATTCTACTCTTATCTTTATTTAATATTTGTCAACTTATTACTTATAGAATTAGGTTAACAATTCATATGATAATTGCCTCACTAAAAGGATGTTTTTCAATGTTGAGCTCATAAAATCTTACCAAAAACTAATAACTGAAAAAACAATATTAAATACTAATAATTTTGATCTAAATAGTGTAAGAAAAATAAATTTTGAATAAATACGTATACGAAGTTTGTTTATATTTTAGGCCTCAAATTGAAATTTCGCTTTAGGCCCCCAATTACGTTGAGCCGCTCCTGCTTAGACACCTCAATCTAACCTTATACCTATTGAACACCTACACCAGCTCGAATTTGAACCATTTGAATATTTTTTTAACAAATAACTACAAGTATAAGAGATGTGTAATACACTCGCGCTGATGTGACAATTTGACGAATGAATAACGTACATATGGCATTTTGAGCCAAAATATTTATTAAAAATTATAAAAAAAAATTTTAAAAAAAGGAAAAGAAGTCTTTGTCCACCCATGGACCTTTGAGCCACCATCAGGTCTCTTCGTTCAACTTTTCCTTTTCCATATTTGATTTTAAAGAAAAAAAAATTGAAATAACAAACTACATATCCTTGTTCTATTTCTTCATTTTTATCCCTTTTTTAATCTTCTCAGTTTCTAAAGAAGTTTCAAAGAAACCATTAATGGTGAAATTGATATGTTTCAGTGAAGAATTTTTTCAACTCTACAAAAGAATTTCTGAAATTGTTTGTTTGAAATCAACACTTCTTCAATTTCTTCATTTTCATCCCTTTGCTCGTCTTTTTTACGGAAAGAAATTAAACCGTTAATGAAGGAATTAAGTTGTTTTCAGAAGAAAAAAATACTTATTTATGAAAAAGGAATTTCAAAATTACATTAGCTGAACTCACTTCCATTTGCTTCTTTTTATCTCGTTTGTGTGCTTGGTACCGGAGGAAACTCAATTTCAGGTTGAAATTTTTAATTCTTGAAAATGGTAGG